GCTCAGTGGCCCCCCCCCCCCCCCCCCCCCCCCCCCCATGGGCGGCTGCCACATCTGTAAGACAAGGGCCAAGCAGAGCATTCCATCTGACCAGTTGTGTATCCTTGTGAACTTTTTATGACTGGGGCTGAGCCTGGCTTCTGTCTGGTCACAGCTGGTGCTGACAAGGGTCTGTGCTGAACTCCCTTCTGCCTGTGGAGCCTTCCCTCGAGTGGGCTGACAGGACTGAGCTCTCTCCCGGAAGATGACTGGCCCTTTCCAGGCTGACCTTGAGAACTTGACCTCCTTAGCTCCCAAGTTTTATCCAGTAGCACTGAGGGTGGGTGGGGCCTGACTCACCAGTCCCTGAGTAGGCGGGGGGTCTTGTCATCACAGACCCGGGGCGTCCCAGACATTTAACAGGGCCTGGCATGTGGAGGGGGCAGGCGTGCTGAGTAAACCTTAGTCTGGTGGGGTTTTTCAGGAAGCTGTACTGTCAGAATGTCCGGGTTGGAGGGGGCGGTGCACAGTGATGAATGTACTTTTTGTTTTGGCTTGACTCTTCCCCTTTCCACTTCTCCAGAAGGAAAAGAGAAACGGAGCCTGGTTTGTGTCCTCCTCTCCTTAAAGTCCTCCTTCTCTAGGGAACTTCCCAAACTCTCTGTCCGTGGGACAGGGTAGGGGCCAAAAAGCCAGCTGTGCCAGGGCTGATGGCACGGGCCGCTGAGCCCGGAAATACAGTAGAGACTGCTATGTGCCATCCTGGGTCAGCTCTCTGAGGCCAGCGCCCATCTTTGCCTCCGGCAGTACATAGGGGACCCTGTTTGGGCAGAGTGCCGTGCTGCACATGCCTGGTCCGGGCCCTGCCTCTAACACCGTTTCCGTAGCCCCTAATAGTAGTAATAGCTGCTGTTAATTAAGCACAGACACTTTGTGTGTGTGATTCCTAATCCTTTCAGTAGCTCTGTGAAGTGGTCACTGTACTATCCCCATTTTATAGATAAGGAGACTGAGGTTCAGAGAGAATCAGTGATTTAGTCAAGGGCTCACAGCCTAGTAACGAATGGCCTTCGGCTTTTGACTCCAGGTCTGATGCCCAGTCCCCAAACTCATGCCCTTCCCCCATTCCAGGGTGGACATTACAGACCCACAGACCAGTTAACTTCCTGGACATGTACCATGGCCAAGCACTGTGACCCAGGCCTGAAGCGCTCAAGGAAAGATGACTTGGAGCCTCAAGTCTAGGGTAGTGCTGGGCCAGAGTCCTGAGAGCTGGGACTGGGGGAACCTGGAGGGTGAGGCAGAGCTTTGCCCAGGACGTGGCATTTGAACTGGTCTCTGAGGAATTGGAGTTCTCTCCCAGGAGGAGGAGGTCATTCCAGAATGCGAAAGTGGAGGGAAGTGGAGGCTCAGAAGGGAGACTGCCAGCCTTGGTGTGTCCTGGGAGCAGCCAGGTCAGGAGAGTGTCGGGAAGGGGAGGAGGATCAGCCCCATACCAGGAGAGGAGTGCTGGGGTCTCTCCCAGCGAGCATGTCCTTCTTCCTTCTTGACCTTTCGCTATCCAAGGAACTTAGCTTACGTCCAGTCTTCTCCCTGCAAGTTGGTGCCTAGGAAAACGGAGGCGAGCAGCCACCATGCCCGAGGTTGCCCAGGAAACCAGTTCCCCTGGACTGCTGGGGGGGAGGGTGCCTGGACTGTACCTGAGGCAGGACACGAGCAGAGGGAGGAGTCTAGCTCCAGGTGAGACAGTCTGCCCCGGGGAGGGGCTGCTCCTCCAGGGCTGGGCGGGGCTGTGTACGCAGGTGCGCTCAGGCTGCTGTAGGGAAGTGTGTAAATAGTTGTTCGA